GAGGAGGAGGAGGAGGAGGAGGAAGAAGGGGATCCCCACGAGCCGCCGCCCCCCCTGCACCACGAGTGGACCTACGAGGAGCAGTTTAAGCAGGTAGGAGGCATCCGCCGACCCAGCGCACCGGCACCAGCACCGGCTGCTCCAGGCAGGCATCTCCGATGACCCCTATGGCCTGCAAACTCGGGGTTTAGCCCTCTCTGAATGGAAACCGCTTATGGCCCTCACTGCCCTGAAACCCTGTCTGCGTCTCATCCTAAATGAGCAACCGCACTGCCCCAAGCCCCATCGCAGTCCCACCCCAAGCTGACATCCCCCATTACCTCGACATTATGGCCATGCCACCCTAAATGAGAACCTCCCAGTCCCCCTCCACTGATGCCAAACTGCATTCCAGGCAATCACAGTCAGTGCAACCCAACACCCCCTACTGCCCCTGCCACACCCCAGCGGGCATCCTCGTGTGCTCCCCATCTCCATGCCACCAAGCTCCATCCCACCCCTGCCTCGTGTTCCCCAACTCCCCCATGTTTCCTATGCATGTCTCCAGGCCCTGCAGCATGTCAGGGTGCCCAGCGTCCAGGCACCTCCCTGTGCCCACCCTGACCCATGCAGGCTCCCTCCCTGGTGCTTTCCATGACGGGCAAAATGTGATGTCTGCTGTTGGTGGAGGTTTTGTGGAGACAGACAATGGCGAGGACTGTGGTGCATGGTCACCCCAAGGAGCTGGTGGGTCACGGAGCCAAGCTCCCCCAAGTCTCTGCAAGGTCTGGGGCATATTATAGCTGATCAATGTGTCCGATTGACGATCTACGGTGGCTGGAGGGAGCAGCATTGTCAACCCTGTCGCCTCGCTCCTGGTGGGCACAGGAGAGACCCCCGTACCACAGAGATCTGGCAGGTGCTGCTTAGTGCACGGGCGTGAGTATGAGTGTGAGTGCACAGTGCTGGGTCGGGTTTGTAACTCCCTGTGTGCTCAGCTTCCTTGCTCGAGGGGAGAGAGGGGTGATACTGGCAGCAGAGTGGGTGGCAGGGAGGATGCAGTGAGGGGACAGAGCAGGCAGAGATGTCCCGGTGCAGCTGGTATGTGGCTTTTTAGGATGGCACTGTTCAGGGCACGGTGGGATGGGGAGACTTACTGGCTCATCCACAGTGGCTCTGGTAGGAGGGGATGGGGACAGCAGTAGGGACCCAACTTTTGGTTGCCCTGGGGCCATGCCGCTGCCTTTTCTGCTCTGCTTTGAGATTGCACAACGTGGCATTATTCAGAGGGGCCACGTCTCACCCGTCTGGGCACCCAGCTGT